GCACACAACTAATGTGTGACCAGGCAAGAATAAGGCCTCTTAATGTTTGCATACAGTATCTGTGAGAAAATGAATTGACACTGAAGAGGTTCAATAAAGACGGGGAGGGGATATGAAGATACCTATTCTGTAAGGCAAAACTAGATGATCATGGTGTGTTTAGTCCACAAAATGATGGTAGAAGGGGGAAATTCAGTCTTTCTGTGCCCAAGTCAGAGGAGGATTAAGCACGAGAAAAAAGAGATACTTCAGCTTAAGCAGATTGCTGGTGCAAGAACAAATTGATATAAATTGACACAAATTAAATGATAGGTCATAACCGACACTGCAGTCAGGTTCTGGCAAAGTCTCATAAGATGGGTAAGCATAAAAAACAAGCTACTTTTAAGATGGAGCTTGATAAGTTTATAAAACATCTAATGGCATTATAGTCTTTGAGAGTAAAAACCGCTGAAGTTTCCAGAGATGATCTTACTTTGATTTCCCAGTAAAAAATAGACAGGCACAGTTATCTCAGGAGTCGCAGTAGTCTCTTTTATTCTCCTGAGTTTTAAAGGAAAAGATTGCCAGGAGATGATATATGAGGGCAATCCAAAGATTTTTTTTTACAGGAATGCTGTTCAAAATATGTGGTATTGAAGGGGAAAAGAAAAAGAAAAATCCCAGAGGAGAGTTTATTCAGCTTGTATGTTCAATGTAAATTTATCTACATATCTGTGTTCTCATCGTATCTAATGTACTTTTCCTCTTCCTAACACTGACAAATTTACTAGCAGTGTGAAATACATAGTTAAGCTCATCTGCCCTTTGGCTGATTAAAAAAAAAAGAAGTCTCCTTGAAAGAATGTGTTTACTGGTGGGTAAAAAATACCTGACTTTCTTTTTTCAGCCTCTCAGCTGCTTAATGGCAAAATACAGATGATGCGCTATTGTCTGTCAGTCTTAATGAGTCAACACTACGAAGTGGTACTTTTTTCTTTGCATTGTACTACAGGTTTGACAAAGGATCTTTGAAAGCTAAATTGGCTGAGGGGGCGTTCTGGTGAAATCGATACCTTCTGTAGAAAAAGGTGGCAAGCTATAGGAAATAGTTTAACAGGGCAGACATTAAAAAATGAAGCCTGCCCACGAAGTGGGCATGCAGTGAACTTGCATATGAGTGATCCATGTTAATCAAAGAACTGATCATGCCTATGAAGATATTTTTATAATTGCAGTGAGAGGCTCTTGAGATTTCCAGGCAGTTATGATATAACATAATACTTTTGAAATGGAAGAAATTTGGCTAGGCCTGGTATTTTTTTAACTACTTGGACAAGAGAGCACAGACAGACAGCATGTGAATATTTTGCTCTAACAGGGTGATTACAGGATGATGTCTTCTGCCTGTCAGGGATGTCTTTCTGAAGGAACAGAAGTTACTTACAAGCCACCTGCATGTTGCTATACCCTTCACCAAGATTTATTTGCTTCCAGGTTAGAATGGAAAATCACTTCAAATGTGCATGGTTTAGTATAAAAAAAACCCCAAACAATTAAAAATGGTGGGATGGAAATTGAAGGAGGGCCCACCCACTTAGGAGAATGAAGTAAATACCTGCAGTTTTCATGCTGATAGTATCATCTAATCAGAGATGAAAATCAGCCTAGACTTCAGTGTAGAAGGGTAGAGTGTGGCTGGAGAATAAGCATATCTGAAGAGACAGTGGTATAGGAAATCTTTGGAAATACCAGAAATCATCTTTGGTGTGGGTTGTGACTTGCGCTTTTAGAGATTCAGCTTCTTTCTCCGGCTTCATTAATTCATGCCTGCTTTCTCCCAAAAGCTTATTACTATTAATAAACTTGAATAAATACAGGGTGGAGAAGATTTCAGGCCATCTGGAGAAAAAGTCTATTCTCATTTACATGTATCACATACATAGGTCTGTTAGTTCTTTGTGTCTCCAAAGACTCCTGTAAGGCAAACTGTAGGATATATACACAAAATTTCCACAGTAAAAACTGCGTCAAGTAAAATCTAAGATTTTCACACAAAGCAAATGTAGAAATGCTCTTTGCCTCTGAATCCTTCCCCTTTTGATTGCAGGGCTAAACAAACCTGAAATCTCACCTACACACAGACCTCATTGGTCCCAGGCAGTTCCCAGGCAGCAGCGAGCTTACTTGTACCAGAAATCTTGCTCGTAATGCAGGTTCAGCACCCCCAGCGCTTTCTGTCCTGCTCATTGCTTTGCTGTTCTACCTGCACCCTTGCTCCGTATGGCTGTATGCCAGATGGAAGGGCATTACTCTGTATATGACACCATCTGATGTTTGGAAAGCACTGACAACCAAAAACAAACCTATGCAGCCTGGAACTGGAAAATGCTTATTTTTGAGGGGGTTAACAACACCTGTTGTGTTGGGTGCTGTGAGTCTGGGAGCTGAGCTGCCCAAACACAGATGCTGGGTGGAGTGCTCCAAAACTCTTGTTGCAACATCCAGCTGGAGAGTGCACAAAGGTGAGACCTTGTGTGCACCTGAAGCCCCTGGTAACCAGGGAGTGCCATCTGCCACCAGAGGGAGGGAAATACTCTAAAGCGGATATTAGTGCAGTTAAAAGGCCCTGAGCAGGCTCTTTCATCATCGATCTAATAATTCTCTTGATGTTCCAACTTAGACATCAGTGCATGTTATGAATTTGCCTGGGCTGTGCTGCAATACAGAGAGATACCTAGGACCCCAGAAGGGACCAGTCCAGCAGGCGATCTCTCAGCCTATCCTGTGCAAGCCATCATCACGAAGTTAAAGACAAAGCCTGGCTGCTTGACCTTTACATATTGGTTATAGCAGTGTTTTCTGGCACGGTTTTTGATCTCACTGGGTCCAACTCTTTTGATCCCTGCCCCATGGAGGATGCTGCTGCTTCTCCTTCACCATGCCATCACTTCAAGCAGAGCCAGATTTGACTCTGAAACTATGAACTGCTCTGCACCTGCCTGACTTTGTGCAGTCACTCTGGTGTCTCTGCACACAATGCCCAGGGAGGGCTTATTTGGTTGGGGTTTGTGCTGCAGGTACCTGTGATGGACTCAAGACAAGGAAAGGCGTCTTGTAGGACCTGGGAGACCTCAGGGCCCCCGCTCTGGCAGGCCTGGTGAGTTCCCCAGGCTGATACGGAGGCACCAGTGTTTTAAGGGCACCATCTGCTGGCTAATGGGAGCAAAATGAGGCAGTGATTTGTTAAAGAGTCCCCCTGTTCACTACAATGAGTGCTGGAGCCACCTTAATCAACAGGTAAAGACTGGAGAGCAAGTAGGGAAAGCTGGGGTGGCACTGGATATGGGTCTTAAATAAAGCCAAACTTAAACTGACAGCCTTAAGACTTGTCAGAAGAATTAAATTTCATGAAAAGTCTTTCTGGCTTCAAAAAGTCTATTGTAGTTTCATTGACATTATCTTGCTAGGAACCTGTGAGTCTCAGTTCTGGTCATATTTTGCATCCTTTTGTGGGATTTTGTAGCTTGGTTGGTCTTGTCTCTAGAAAACAGCATTTTTAAAGAAAGCAAAGAATTGGCGAGGTTTCTGTGTGCACTTGTAATATGCTCTCCTCCCTATGTGCCCGTCAGTGCTGTTCCTCATGATTGTTCTAGGTACAAAAAATAAAAAGTCATGGGTGGTAATTCCTCTCCTTGATAACTCTCCTCTCTTTACAGCTGTAGTTTAATATTGTGAGAACCCCAAAGAGTCGTTTATGCTCTTGACTAACTGCATACTGACTGGGTCACAGCAATTTTGGGAGCTATGCCAGTATGAATCTGAGGCAGAAAAAAGCAGGATTTGTACAGGGTTGTTTTTATCCTAGGTGATGTCTATATGCAGTTCCAAATGTCAGAGGATTCCTTTGCACAGATCCTTAAATTTCATTTAATTTTCTATTAAATAATTCTCTGGGCTTCCAAATTGCTAGTGCATTTCCTTATATAGGTGGAATAATCTTACTTTTTTCTTACTGTACTCATTAATGCAAATGGGATAAATGATACTTTATGTAGGACTTGGAAAAAAGTCCAATATAAAATAGAATTTTGTCGTGGTTTAACCCCATCCGGAAACTAAGCACTACACAGCTGCTTGCTCACTCCCCCCCCGCTGGGATGAGGGAGAGAATTGGAAGGGTAAAAGTGAGAAAACTCCTGGGTTGAGATAAAGACAGTTTAATAGGTAAACCAAAAGCTGCACACGCAAACAAAGCAAAACAAGGAATTCATTCACTACTTCCCATGGGCAGGCAGTTGTGCAGCCATCTCTAGGAAAGCAGGGCTCCATCATGTGTAACGGTTACTTGAGAAGACAAACGCCATCACTCCTAATGTCCTCCCCCTTCCTCCTTCTTCCCCCAGCTTTATATTGCTGAGCGTGACGCCATATGGTATGCAATATCCCTTTGGTCAGTTGGGGTCAGCTGTCCTGGCTGTGCCCCCTCCCAGCTTCTTGTGCACCCCCAGCCTCCTCGCTGGTGGGGTGGGGTGAGAAGCAGAAAAGGCCTTGACTCTGTGTAAGCACTGCTCAGCAGTACCGAAAACATCCCTGTTTATCAACACTGTTTTCAGGACAAATCCAAACCATAGCCCCATACTAGCTACTATGAAGAAAATTAACTCTATCCCAGCCAAAACCAGCAAAAATTTGTAAGGATGACTACGATCATATATTGCTATGTACTATTAATGGCTAGTGCTTGAATGTTGGGTAATTACATGATTCAGTTATTATGTGGGACAAGACAATGTTTGCAGGTGCCTGTGGTGTGCCTTCCTGACTCTGAAAGCCAAACTGAACCAGACAGACAAAGATGCAAAGTAATATGTTTGGTGGCATTAAAAAAAGTGTTATATATCTATGTGTATATATTCAACTGCTGTTACTGTGAACAGTCTTCTCTCCCTTATATGCATGAGAATTGCTGTTATCATTAATCTTAATGATTTTTATTTCTCTCTGTTTTCTCCTTTCAGTTGCAAATGAGACAGGTGACAAAAATGCACGACCACTTTCACGATTTGCCCGTAAGTAGCTTTTTTTATTTTAACTGTTTGATTTCTATATCTACTGTAGAAATAACGACATTTAATAAGTCTTTTAATCTCATATTATGTCCACCCTGTTACTACAGCTCATTTACAGTACTAAACTGAGGAACCATAGTACTTAGCTGGAAAAGTCACTTAGAGAAATTCAGTCTCGTTGAACAGAGTTGATGCAAATTTAAAAGAATGGAAGGCTTTGTGGCCTTACTATTGTTTCAAGCATAAAAAATTATAACATTATAAGTGTCACAAAGCCAGCTGAAGTTGACTACAGTGGCTACAAAGAGATTTGGGTCAAGCCTTAGAAATAGCATACAAAAAATGTAACCAAACCTTACTGATAGCACCTCCATCACCTTTTGCTTCACACAGCAAGGTTAAGAACTAAAGGTATGGCTTGGGATTTGAAATAAGTGAGCCAAGTTTGAACAAAACAAAGGGATGCATCTGGTAATGTAGCACCAACTGACCATGACTTCGACCATATGAATTATTAAAACCACGTGACCAAATATGTAGGAATTAGGAGGAAGATAGGAAATCTTGTTCATAACGTATGCAGTTTCATGATGATTTGTGATCACTTAGCAGGGAAAAATCCCCTTCTCATCATTAAAAGGAGACATTTGCCATCATCATGGGTGGTACAGATCAAAACATCAAAAGAATTTACATCTGTGGTGCAGTATTTCACACAGTCACAGGATGGCACTCTGAGCATGCCATACCTCACATAGGTAGCTAAGGTGCATAATGTAAAAGGAACTGCTGTGGCTATGAAATCTGTTGCGTGTAATGACTTACAAGGTGATGGAGCAGATTGAACAGGACTGAGAGAAAATTGTACTGACATTCCTTATTCCCGATTTAGGGCTTATTTTCCTTCACGTTGTAGACAGTAAAGCTTAAAAAAGGGGCTCTATTGATCAGTCCTGGCTGGTTCAACCCTGAAAATACATACGCCAAAGGAAATCACAGAGGAGAGAAATCTAAATGTAAACGCAAACATTTTCAAGTTCTTTATCACTCCACTTTTTGCCCGTTATGGTTCCTGAATACTAGGTACAGAGTTGGAAGATTCAGCCCAAGTACTGTTTATTCCTGGATGTTTGGGTTACGAGGATTTCATGCTGCAATACTGCCTGACAAGTAAGTCAGGCATAACGTCATGACATTTGGAACTGAGCTGGCATTTCAGTTCTGATTCTGACATTCATAAGAACTTAATTTTTGGTGAATGTGTATAGGGTGCAGGTCTGAGACCCAGCAATAACCTGGTTCTGTTGCTGCTTTAATCTTGGCTCTCAACCAGGCAGCCAAGCCTTGTTTGCAGAGTTAGGGGTGACTGGCTTTACATGGAAGAGAAGAGACTGGTGGAGGGCTATCAGCTGAATGAAAGCACAGGATACCCCCTTACAAGGCCTCATCATATGACCCAGTGCTGCATGGGATTAAGTGTGGAGGTGAGATCAAGGCCGCAGGCTATTTGGCAGTACCAGAAATGTAATGCAGAGAGGAACATTTAGATAAGCTTGGTTGGGAAATAGTCACAGAGGCATAATATAAGGTTGAAGGGAGATAATTCAAAGTGTAAACCAGACCTTCGCTGTCAGGAGTTAAATTTAGTGATCTGGGAGTCAGGTTGAGGATTTAGTGATCCAGCTAGCTTCTCATAGGGTATCATTAATGATGACTGTGTGGCCATGAGCAGTATAAGGTCACAACTCTGTGGGAATGGGAAGGAAAATTAGAATGGGAACTGTTTTATGGAAAGGAGGGAAATGTCTGAGGCATGTGCTGTGCTAACATGAATTAAATGGATGATGCCCAAATTTATGCTGAGAGTACTATAACCTACTCTACCATACCATGTTTCATTGAACAAACAGTGGAGTGCAGATCAAACATTCAAAAACATCCTGACTGAATGGCAGAAAAAGCTGCAGCATTTGAGGACAAGGTTTCAAGCAATAAATGAAGTCATGGAGGATTATCATTGTTATCCTTGTGTCTGAGTCATAAACCAGAGACTGGGATCTTCTTGGATCGTGCCTTTCACATTCACTCGAATGATTAATTCAAAGGCAATTACTAAATTCACAACAGAGAACAGGATTTCTATTGCTCTGTAGCAGCTGCCCATTTGAGGTCAACAGTAAAACCTTCAGAGATTTCAGTGGGATCACAGTTGGGCTGTTATTGAACATTTAACAAACCATACCCATTTTGGCTGACCTTATTTACCGGATCTAACTTTCTGTGCATGCAACCAAACACAAGATAACCTACAGAAACCCAGATGAGCCTTGTCCATCCTGACTGTTGTCCACAGATCTCTGGAGCATGTAGCTGTTTTCCCCTTTAGTTCAGGAACAAAGAAGAGGGAAAGGCTGCGGGTGTTGTTAAGTGAGGCAACGGGAATGATAGTTGTGTGGTTATCGGTGATCCAGGTAGCCAGACTTCCAGTGTAACAATATTTTCAGGCTATATTAAAGTATTCAAACACCCACCTGCAGATTCTTTAAGCAGAGTTCTGCTTTTTAAATTGTAACACCTAAATCTAGTTTGATTTTGGCTCTAGATCTGCTATAATCATCTTTGACGGGGTACAATAACATGAGGGAGAAGCATTTCTGCAAATGTTTACACTTACAAGGATTTGAAATTAAAATTAAGTGTTATTCATTCCAATGCTAGGGCTACCCAATCTCCTGTACTCTTAAATGTGAAGTTCCAGTCAATTTAAGAGACTTTGAATTTAAGAAGCTACTACTCTCTTTAGGAGCAGTTAATGTACCTGGTATCTCACTATGTCATCTTGCTACAAGTACCACTGTGCCATCAGTCTTTGAGCAGTTGTGGCTGTGGGAATTTAAGTTCATCAGGCTTTCAGTATTTCAGGCAGCTGGAAGTTCCTGGCTGGCTCTGTTTAGGCAGGCTTGTTAAATAAAAAAATCATTTGCCAAATGCCCTTCACCTGAGCATAGCTGTGGGCAGGTGGAACACTGATTAGGACAGGTGGGTGTTTCATTGCTGTAGTGAAGTTGGTTAATTCATGTCAGTTGGCTGATTTGCTGCTGTTGATCTTCAGAAGAGCCAAGTAGATCTGGGTCTACAGTCTAGATATAATCATAGGGGACAGCTGCATAGGATGGATATCCAGGCTGGAGGAAAAGGTAGAGGTGTATGTGTAGG